CCAGAAAAGACCGATTTAGTTTATGCTTTTTAATAAAAATCAGAGTAACTTCTTAAGAAAAGTGTTGCGGAATTTTGTTCCCAGAAAAACATGATAAATATGTTATCAAGCATTTCCGAAGAAATGTATTTTATTTCCTTTAAAAACTTTGGGATGTCAACGTCAATACAGAAACATAAGCATAAACAAAACTTACATTCATTTACACTAGTGATCTACATCTCTTTAATCCCTCAGTGAAGTGTAGCTTTATATCGACACCTGTGATGCAAATAAACTGAGTGGGCTAGGTTGGGAAACCTGGTGAGTACATAGGGTTTTCAACCTACAATAGTAAAGTTATTAAGTTTTATCATCAAACAATTAACCCAATTACCCACCCCCATTATCTTCTTTAATTCCTAGGGATCTACCCTAAGAATCATCTATCACTCATTCCTAAGGGTTTTCCTAAGGAATAGGCACGAAGTCCATCGTCGCCAAGGTTATAGAACAGACACTAAATCCATAGATGTCAGGGTTCATCCAACGGGTGCTAAGTCCATAGCTCTCATTTATCGACAATATTATTTGCGGGAGTCCACCTGCAATACATGTCGATGGGTTTTTAGAGTACATCGGGTGAACATATCGTTCACAACACCTACAGGTAGCGAGCCTGCTAGTGTTCCACAGACTGTCTAGAATAGTCCATGGTTGTCATCCGTACTCTGCTAGATGACGGGGCCATCGTTTAGGTAAAGGTTTCTCTCATTTTTAACCTCTCGCCCTCATCTCATAATCTATATTACCTTTTATCTCATCCTCTAGCTCATCTTTCATCACACGCCAACTATTTCATCTACCCATGTTTTACCCAACATATTTGTAGATATAAAATACATATACAGTTCAGATCTGAAGAAATGGTTTAGATCTGTAAAGAAAACACATATACGGTTCAGATCTGAAGAAAAAAGGTCTAGATCTGAAAAACAAAGTTTAAATCTTTCATCATATCTTTCAAAGCATAAAATACACATACAGTCTAGATCTAAAGAAAAGTTCAGATCTGGAAAGGAAGAAGTTTAGATCTTTCATCCAGCATAGATCTCAAGTATACATCATCCATATATTAGGTTTAGATCTGAAACGTTCAGATCTGCAGTGAGAAAGTCTAAATCTGAAGGAAAAGGTTCAGATCTGAAAGAAAAGGGTTAGATCTGACAAAAATACATATACCATTCAGATCTGAAGAAAAGTCTTAGATCTAAAAAGAAAAAGTTTAGATCCGAAGAAAAATCTAGATCTGAAGGAGAAAGTTCAGATCTGGAAGAAAATGTTTAGATCTAAAGGAAGAAGTTCAGATCTGAAAAGAAAGAGGTTCAGATCTCTCATCCAACAAACATCTCAGGTAAACAGACAACATATATTTATACACATAGCATATAATTTATATAAAATACTTCATATCTATGCGTAAGATGAAAGTGACTATGCACTCACCTGATACGGAGTGATTTGGACAACACCTCGCTTCTAAAAATAATCTTCTTTGATGAAACCAGGAAGTTTGCTTGAAAACCAGGCTCCGCGCGGGCAGAGTTTTAAACCGATTTTTTTTTCTTGGAGCCTTCAGGCTCTCCAGGACTCGCTTCTAGCACTTAGGAAGTACTAGGGAATGGAAGAGAGGTTTTGGGGGGTAATGGGAGAGAAAGGGGATGAAAGGTGTGTGTTTTGGGGTGATTTACGCCTCTATTTATAGGCTGTCTGGGCCGATTCACGTCGTGAGAAAGGGTGCTCACGTCGTGAGCCAGCTGGCTACAGCCAGGCACAGCCTGACGCTGACACGTGGCATCGCACACAGGGTGGAAATCAGCCGATTTTCAAAAATTTATAACTTTCGCATACGGGCTCCGTTTTCGAGGTTCTTTATAATTAAGTATAAAACACATAAATTCACATAATTCACGTAATACTCAAATAATTCATCTTTATTGCTTCAAAAGAGTTACAATAGTTGACCTAGACTATTACATCATCTATTAATGCTTAGCCCCGAAACATGGGCGTTACACGTACCAGTGGGCCCAACCCAATACATCAATGGGCCTAGCCCAACATACACATGCAAGAGCTACAAAGACAACTAGCATCCTATATAGCACAATCTAGTGGGCCGACATTGGTGCCTTCGACCCACTAGTATATTGAAAAGACTCATCTCAACCCCGAAGACCAGATAAGCCACCCACTCGAGCCAAAGATATCAAGCCTCCTCTTGCTAAACATATCCATGATAAAACCCTAATTAACAATTAAGAAATGGCTAACTCACGAATGGTCTAGGCTCACAATTAAACCTCCTTTGGGCAAAAGACCATTTCCCCCTTCCACTACTAAGTCCCAACATGGTTGACCAAAAGTCAAACCGGTCAAAAAGTGAACAGTCAACCCTCAGTTGACTTACACGCAACGTAGAGCTACGCCCATCATAGATCCCCTGATCCCAAAAACTTCTATTAAGCTCTCATACAACAAGCCAAACTCTCAAACTCCTAAATCTGATCTAAATATATGTCTTAATGGGTAAAGTCTCTGACCTTATCCCTTTGCATGCCCAAGATGATCACACAACCAAACTCTAAGTCAATATTGTCACCTTTTGCTCAAGAACTCATGCATGGATGGATGAGAGTGCCCAAGCTCTCATTTTTATGACTCTATAACCTAAAAAACATCAGAAGGAGGAATTCAAATGGTCTGGAGTAACCCTTACTCACAAGGACCAAGATTAAGGGACAAAAATCATAAAAACCCATGAGCTAATTAGATCTAACAAAAGGAACATCAAGATGCAAGCTTTATACCTTCTGCAGATAGGTGATGAAGCGTAAAGTCTGGATCTATAAAGCTTGGATCTCACACTTGCTTCTCCAATGGACTCATTCTTCAAGAATGCACTAAAAATCACACTAAGGCTTCCAAAACTCATAATTGGTGGATAGGGGTTCAAAGGAACGATATGAGGTGATGGAGGTTGGTTATGGGAAGGATTCCAAGAAGTTAAAAAGCCCTTAAATAGGGCCCAAAACCTTAGGGTTAGGGTTTTGGTCAGCAGAGGCTACGCCATGTGTAGCATAACCTACGCCATATGTAGGTAATTAAACCTGCATTTCGAATACATCACTTACGCCCTGCGTAGGGCAAAACCCCCAACTTCCAATTCAACATTAAATAACCATAACTTCTTCGTTTCAACTTCGTTTTCGGCGTTCTTTATATGCACGGAAAGGTATTGACGAGCCCCAAAATTCTATCTAGTTACTTTTGGCTTAACACGTGACGAACTAAAACCATAATCCATGCATGAAGCCCCACATATAACTTTTCCCATTTTACCCTTTGGTTCCAACACACAAGTCAAGGGCTTAGATCTCATAACCAATATTATCAACCTTCAACAAGGTCTAAACTTTACTTCCTCAAATCCCAAAGCATTTTCTTAATCAAATTATGACCTACAAACCCTGAATTAAGAAACATCTGAAACAGGGTGTTACAATATATTTTTGGATTATGTGATCGATAGGTCGTATTTTTGGATTGCTAGGAGTAGAAAGCTATAATTATTTGGGTCGATTGGCTTCATAATCATAGTTTAGCTTGCACTCTTATGTAATGTTTTTTTCTAGCTTTCTGTTAGTTTTTATAAAATTTTATGTTGTTCCAGAAAAAAAAAACACCTTTGACATATTAGTCGACTTTGAGATATATTAAAAAGGTTGGCTAGCTATCACAGACCTTCCTCCCCCAATGAAAACCACAAAATAAATATACATGACAATAAATAATGAATATGATAATAGAACTAATAACAATAATAATAAAATAAATAATAAAAAATAATAGTAACGAATAATAAAAATAAAAATATAAGTAATAATAATAATAATTCTTTATATATATAAATTTCATGTTCATAAAATAGAGGGAAATAAAAAATTGCTTACAGAATACTCACACTAATACTAATAATAATAATAATAATAATATAATAAATAACAATAATAATAAAATATGTAAAAAAACATTAATTAAGAAATAATAAAAATAAAAATAAAAATAAAAATATAAGTAATAAAAATAAAAGAGAGGGAAATGAAAATAATTTCCTACGGAAATTAAAAAATCTACCGCTTTTTACACTTCCATAGGTAATCTGTAGGTAATTCCCTACGAAATACATACGAATTATTAAACACGAATAAAATAATCGTTTCTCCAAATTTTCGTCGGTACTTCGTAGGTAATTTCCTACGGAATACCTACGAATTATTAAACTGGAATAAAAAATTATATTTTCGTAGGTAGTGTGTAGGTAATTACTAACTATTTTCGTAGCTATTTTGTAAGTAATATAAGATAAAAGTTTGTGTGGTTGATTTACCTACACATTTTTCCCCATAGGTGATTTATGTGGTAAATTGCATTTGTAGTATTGTCACCTTCAAATCGGTCTTCATTTCCTTACTTTTCAGTTTGCTTTTTAATATTCATACATGGAAACTAATTTTGCAGCATTTATTCAGTTAACACACATAAATGTCCTCAATATTTGAATCCGCCACCAGCGACGTAGCATCGTTAAGTTTTTTTTTTTTGAAACGGCAATTTTATTGATAATGCACCCTAGCAAGATACTAGGGGACATAATTTACATCCAACAGAGAAGAAGAAAGCATATATTATTTACAATTTAATGGTGATACACACCACTTATCCCACTCCATTTTTTCACCTATTTGACTTCTATGCTTTCTCCAAGTAAATACGATAGCTTTGATGGAATCCACAATATTCACAGATTTTGATGCCTCACCTCTAAAAACCCGATCATTCCTAGCCTTCCATAAACTCCAAAGACATCCGTATATAATACTGGTTAGTGCTTCTTTCTTTTTTGGACAATGCCCCCATTTTCTGGCAAAATCTAACACCTCATTAACCCCAGAAAATGATTAAGTGGAGATTCCACACCAGCTAAGCACCATATTTATAGTATCCTTCGCCAGACTGCAGGCAGTGAGAATGTGGTTAGCTGATTCCTCTATGTCTGCAAATAACCCACACATTGGGGATGGAACAGGAATGTTCCTCTTAGCCAACTCCTCTGCTGATGGGATCCTGCCCTGTTTAGCTCGCCAGATAAAACTCACCACCTTTTTTGGAACCGAATTTAGCCACCAAAATTCACCATCGCTGACCGGATGTGATGCTCTGTCGAGTCTACTTCGCAGCTTCGCCACGCTAAAATTTCCATCCACAACAAAATCCGAACTCCACGTTAAACCACCATCAATCGTGTTCATTATCTCCTTCACATCTATGTTCAGTCTCCAAAATCCATTCTTAGCTTTGTCAATACTTGACCATACCGCGCCCATATTATGTTTTGCAAAACAATACCAAGGCCGGTTTGGAAGGTTATGAAAACCACTTATAATTTGAGCCGAGAGATATTGAGGGTATGTTTTGAACTTCCACCACCATTTGGCAAGAAGATCCAGATTTAGGTTTCTAAGAGAACCCAAACCTGCCCCACCTACATCCTTTGGAGCTTTTAGTGATCCCATGCAACCCAATGCACAGTTGCCTTTTCCGAGCCACTCCTCGATAGAAACTGTCTTTGGATTTTTTCAAGCTCTTCAATGATTCTGATGAGGGCTGGAAATAATGAGAAGTAGAAAGTTGGAAGGTTTCCAACTACGGATTTCACCAAAGTCGCCCTCCCACTAAAACTTAATGTCTTAGGCTTCCACACGGAGAGTTTGGAGCGGGTTTTGTCAATTATCGGCTTCCATGCTTTTTTCCTATTCATATTCTCACCGACTGGGACTCCAAGGTAAGTAAATGGAAGAGAAGATGGAGCGCAACCCAATGGTCCGGCCTGGCTACGCACCTCCTCAAATTCAACTCCAACACCAAAGACCCTTGACTTGTTGAAGTTCACCTTTAACCCCGACACAACATCGAAAACCCGAAGTATTCTAGCCAGGTTGGAAACATTTTTTGTTGACCAATCTCCAATAAATAAGGCGTCGTCTGCATAAAATAGATGAGAGAGAGATGTTAGTATTTGGAATGGGGATCCCGTCAAATATCCATATCTCTCTGGCAACTTTCATCATAACATTTAAACCCTCCATCGCCATTATGAAAAGGAAAGGAGATAACGGATCTCCTTGCCTCACCCCCTTAGATAAACTAAATTCCGTCGCTGGGCTGCCATTGACCAATACCGACGCCCTCGCAGACGTAAGGCACCCATATATCCATTTTCTCCATTTTAATCCGAAATTCATCTAATCCATAACCGAGTCAATATACTCCCAATTCACGGAATCAAACGCTTTATTGAAGTCCGCCTTGAATAGTAATACTTTTCTGCCACTTTTTTTCGTCCAGGAGCAAACCTCGTTTATTATCAAAGGGCCCTCAAGAATATTTTGTCCTTCCACAAAAGCCGATGATTTTGCAATGATCTTATATAGAGCACCAATAAGGCTTATTGGTCTGTGATCATTTAAGGAGAGTGGATCCTTTATCTTGGCAACGATGGAGATAAATGATGAATTACATCCCTTAGAAAAATCCCATGTCTGTTCGAATGATCTAACGAATCTCATAATATCATATTTTAGCATATTCCAATAAGTTTTAAAGAATTTGAATGAGAATCCGTCCGGACCCGGGGCCTTTTCCGATCCGCAACACCATATGATGTTCCTTATTTCCTCAACTGAGAAAGGTAGCTCAAGGGAGGAGCTCTCCTCTGGGGGAAGTTTTTTGAATCTATTGCTTATCATTTTCGGCCGACTCTTCCATTTTTCTTCAAATTTCCTTGAAAAATATTGGAGGATCTCACTTTTAATGACCTCAGGACTTGTAACCCATTGACCATTAATCACCAGCCCATGAATTTTGTTTCTCCTGTTTTGGTTATTCACATAACCATGAAAGAAGGAAGTGTTTTCATCCCCATCAACAAGCCATTTCACTTTCACCCTTTGCCTCACGTCCATTGCCGCCGCCTTTTCAAAATCTGTAATCTTACGAACACAGTTGGACCGTTTCCCCAACTCATGTGGCAACAATGCTATAGATTCTACTTCAATATCAAATTTTGATATCATGCGCCTGCACTCTTCCAGTTCTTTAGTTTCTAAAGTGAACCCAATTTCCCGCCATCTTATAATTTCTTTCTTTAAGAACCGAAGCTTTCAGCCAGGAAAGCATCAGCACATCCGTGACCATTGAATTTCTTCCATGCCTCCGACACCATGTCATGAAAACCCTCCCTTGACAGCCATGAATTGTAAAATCTGAATGGTCTTGGACCAAAGTCTCACCGGATGATTTCAACACAATGGGGCTATGGTCCGACAGTTCCCTAGCGAGGGCCGTTACGGAAGTTCCCAGGAAGGAATCCATAAAATTATCACACACCAGAAATCTTTCCAATTTGCTCATCTTACCACCATCATCTGATCTAAAATATGTGAACTTAAATCCCCCCATTCTTAGATCATGAAGAGCACATGAGAGAATAAATTCATTAAAATCATCAGCTGAAACCCGACAAAATCTGGAATTAACCCGCTCCTCCCGCCTACGAACTACATTAAAATCCCCAGCAAAGATCCATATCGCCACTCTACTAGATTTAATTTGGGCCAATTTTTCCCAAATTCTTATTTTTTCAGCCGGAGATTGTGGCGCATAGACATTTACAATGGCGAGTTCAGTGTTTATGCCCACCCATTTACCAAATACAATAAAAAAATACCTTGATTTTATCGTGTCTGATACTCTGAAAGCCCCATCGTCCCAAATTGTAATAAACCCACCTGATCTCCCAGTTGCTTCAATTAATTCAAAATCAAAGTTGTTATTGATCCAACAGTTTCGAATGTTTAACTGTAATAAAGAGGCCAAACCCAATTGTGATTCCTGGAGGCACATAATCGAAACCTTTTGCTCCGAGCATAATCTCCTAACCCATCTTTGCTTTGAGGCTTCACCAATTCCTCTAACATTCAAAGAGAGTATATTCATTGCGGAATATTGTTCTCACCATCCATACCCATTACCTCTTGTAATACTTCATTCCCAAATTCAATATCTACATCGACCAATTTACCAGTCTCCACTGTTAAGGCAGTCTCGGAGATCTCTACATGCTGGTGAGGAATCGAACCCGGATCCAAGGGAAGGGAGGTGCGGTTCCAACCTGAGCCTTCGTCACCACCAACCGGAGTGTGAACAGTAGAGAAGGAGCCACTGGGAATGCTGTTCAGGTCTAATCGCTGAATGGAAGAGCGTCACATCCTTTTCCATCCTTATTTACCGACCCACATTTAAATGGCCCAAAACAACCAAATTTTACTATGTCCAAATTTGAACCAAGATTTTTCACCTTACTCGCATCCAGATCCATAACGTCGGTTGGGTGGTCAGCATTAGGATCAGAGCCACCATCCATCCGTTGGCATTCAATCACAGGCGACAATTGGAGTTCCCCATGGTGTGGATCCTCTCCCAACGATCAAGCTTCTGTGACCGGTGTTTCAGCCACCTGCATCCAGGTTTCCGGCGAGGACTCGCGCTCCATAGACCCCATCTCCGATACTGCCGCTTTGTCGGCCCCAATATCATCATCATTCTGGATTTCACCTTCTTCCCACTCGTCATCGAGCAATCTTCCATCAGTAGGATCCCTTCTCGTTGAATTAACTTTCTCAGAAATACCATCTTCGTCACCCTCAGGATTTGAATAATCATTCTCTACCGAATTCACCCTATCACAAATTTCATTTTGCACATCACAATCTTCCATTAACCAATAACCCGATGGAAAGGGAGACCAGTCAAAATCAACTTCAGCAATTCCCACCCATAGTATATATCTCTTTGATTCCACTGCCACCACTTCGTTGATTTTCGTTTTTCTGTCCGTAAGAACACAAATCTTTCCACAAGAGACATCTTGTAGACTAATTGGAATCTCCGATGGACTTAGAATCTTACCGACCGTGCCTGCAATACGAGCAAAGTTTTCTTCACTCCACATGTGTAAGGGCAGACCAATAATCTTCAGCCATGCAATCCTCCCAGGTAGCTCGTCATAGGAATTCCCGAATTTAAATTCACTGAACCAGTTCCCCCAATACTTCTCATTCATCAGGAATTCATTGACGTCGTAGTCATTCCTGAATCGAATCCCAATCGATAATCCCCCCAAATATTTCATTCCATAGGCAAAGGACTGTCCCAACCTAATCTCCGTTGGCAATTTCTTTATGTGTTCTAGGTTGTGTGCGATTCCAATGAGAGTAAGCGGACTACGAATTCAATGTGCCCAGAACGAATCATCCTCGAGGGTGATAGGATTTTTAGTTAACTCGATCTGGGGGTGGAGGAGGAAAAGGTCGACCAACATTCCCAGATAATACTGCAGCAAAAGATCTGCCATCGCGGAACGAGCCCAAACCTGTATGGTGCAGATTTTTCTTGTCCCCTTCATTGTTCCTAGCCATCCCAGGACGAACATGTATTGCTTTGTAAGTAACAATCTCATTTCCTCTTAATGTACATATCATTAATTAGAGACCGACCGTTATCATCCTCAATATAATTCATGTGCCCTTAAGTCCATTTTCCAATTCTTTTTGGGCTTTGGCAAACTTGTATATACAATTTCCTCCATTTTTAGTGTTCAATCTCCTACACATTTTTTCATATGCCATAATCTTTGCTTTAGTTATTGTTTTCTTCTTCCAACTTCTGGTCGCCTTGTATATATTTCTTTCACCTCTCATCTTTCCCGGTAGTCATTACTTGATAGAAATTCTTTAAAACGAGTTTCTTTATTTTGACCATAGATTGAACCTTCTTGCTCCATGATTCCGATTGTTGGCTTAGCCTTCCCTGCTAGACAGATATAACCTCCTGCTACCATGTATACCGAGACCCGCTACTTGTAACTAACCTATATATATATATATATATATATATATTTGGAAACGGCAAATAAAATTAAAATAAAAGAACCAACGCCAAGCAAGGAGCTAGACGTAGTCGAAAACAAAGTACAAAAGGTTCAATCATACATGATCACACCTAAACGGACAACTTATCCACTCCGACCATCTACATGAACTATTACTTCCCCTCAACTTGTTCCAAGAATATACTAGAGAGATTACATCATTAACTATCTTGGATGGAGATTGTGGGATCTTGTTATGCACTTTTTCGTTCCTTGGCTTCCACATATGCTAAAGGAGACCGTAGATGATGACAATTAGCAATTTTCGTTTCTTGGGCAATTCCCCTAGCTGGTTGCAATAAGTTCCCGAATACGGTCCTAATAGACACACATGTGAAAAGCTAATAACTAATAACTAACTAAATATTAATTATTTAATATAAAATAGCTATACAACGTTAATGATAAATATTCAAAATGCACAAAGAGTCAACATGAGAAATTATATTGCAATAAATTTGTTGTCAGGTGAGGAATTCACAAGTACAATGCGTAAATGATTTACAAATCGAAAGTTCCAGACAAATGTTAAAACTTAAAACCTTAACAGAGCCTACAAATTTCAATCGTCTACATACCCCACCACAAATGCACAAACAATCAACTTAAAAGAAACTAGTGTAGATGTAGAGGCCTTTTTCACCACAACCATCCTTCATCGGCCATTTCGAAGGCCACGTGAAATGTCACTAACGTGGCCCTATAAGTATCCACTACTTTGTCTTTAATCCCTCCCCCCTCCCTTATAAAACACTCCATCCTCCTCCTTAATCATCATCACCAACAACCTTCTCTCCTCCCTCAAAACTCAAAAGTACCACCATCTTTTCTGACATGGCTGCTTCTTCAATCTTCATGGCAACTCCCGTCACACTCCTCAAGAAAACTCCCACGTTCTCCGTCAAATGCATGTCACAAACACCTCAAAGCGGTGAACCGGAGGTTTCAAAACCGGCAACCACCCCAACACCACCACAGATCAACATTCCTCCTCCGCCGCCACCTGCTCCAAAGGTCAGCACGAAGTTCTCTGACGTGTTGGCGTTTAGTGGACCTGCACCGGAGAGGATCAACGGAAGGTTAGCCATGATAGGGTTTGTGTCGGCGATGGCTGTGGAACTGAGCAGCGGACAAGACGTGTTCACCCAGATCGGCAACGGCGGTGTTGCGGTGTTTGTCGGGACAAGTGTGGTGTTGACGTTGGCGTCGTTGGTGCCGTTGTTTAAAGGGGTGAGTGTGCAGTCGAAGTCGAGTGGACTGATGACGTCAGATGCAGAGCTTTGGAATGGGCGGGTTGCGATGTTGGGTCTGGTGGCTTTGGCTTTTACTGAATATGTTAAAGGCAGTGCCCTTGTCTAGATAATGTATTATAAACTTTTCTATTACAGAATTACATCTAAGATAGGAAAATGTATATTCTTTTGAATATTTATGTGTATCGATTTACCATACATGGTTCAAATCATGAAAAGCAAGTTTTTTGATAATATAGTATAAAACAAATATAATATCAATCAAATTGAACGATGTTGTGGTATCTTTCAATATAAAATTCTTTTTATAAAAATATACAAACAATACTAAGATAAATTTTAGAGGAATGAACCTAGATTAGCAATATAATATAGTCAAAGTCTAAAAAGATATTGAAATCTTAGTTTCACAACTTCCTCTTTGAATGTTGAACTGAGGTGATCTTCATTAATTCATTCTGAATAAGTGACTAAGTCCAGCCTAGTCAATTAGCTAATTTAAGATGACAAGTATCCAAAATTCAAATACATTATAGAGCTCAATTTCAAACAAAAGTGACAAATGACTAATGCTCACAAAACGATCACCGAATCATTTTAAGCATTTACTAAAAGCTAGTCTAACTCTTATTGGTTTGAAATCTAATTTTATCATCAAATCTATACAAGATTGAGATTGGTACCCCGTATACTGATGACATGTCGTTGGTACAAGTATCGTCGGGAATAATTTTCGAAAAAAAATAAAGTTTTATTAATTAGGCGACGACATGTCGTCGGGATGGGTGCCACCTATAGCGACGACATGTTGTCGCCACATTTTTTTCCACAAATGTCAATCAAATACCTATAGCGATGACTAGTCGTTGGGATAGCCATAGGTGGTTTTTTTATTATTATTATTTTTATTTTTATTTTTTTTATATATAGGTTCTGTACATTTACCATTCCTGCATTTTTAACAAATTTCATACATTTTGCAGCATATATCAAATAAGATAATATAACTAGGTACCATTGTTCAAATTCAAAACATCCAAATTAGATACAATAAGTAGTTAACATTGTTTAAAATAACACAAAACATCAACCATCATTATAATATTCTTCTTCTTCCATCCTCTCGGGCTCGACATTTTGTTGAGAGGTATTTCCTTGTGACGTACTTCCTTTTGTGTTGGAATTGAATAGAAAACTAGGAAATGGTGGTGGTTGGAAGTTATGAATACATGCCGCTCATGATGCATTATATTGTTGCAAGTATTCTTGTATTTTTTGTGCATCAGATTGGGATTGAGATTATTGGAAAGATGTGGAAGTTGAAGCCCGATCATTTGGAGTTAGACCGAAGTTGGTGGCTGGTCTCCTACCCACTACGCGAGCATGCCCGTGTCTCGTCCCGATGACACGTGCAAGAAATTCTTCCTCATCTACTTCTCCGTCTTCCTCGACCCCGCTTTGCATTTTCTCATATTTATCTTGAATCTTATCATAAAATAGAGAAAACAATAAACATACGATAATTAAAACAAACAACTAAATTTAAATATTAAATAATAATAATAATATACCTTAGACAAAAAAACTATAATTAATAATAATAACATATTTAAATAACGTATTAATTTTGTTTATCACTTACCCAATCTTCTTGTGCTCGTCTTGTACACGAACCTGAGCCTTCTTTGTAGCGCATCTGTCTCCAATCCTCAATATGTTGCGACTTCAGTGCTAGTTTTCGTATAATATGTCAAAAACAATAAATATATTTATACAAGTGTTAATAACAATTTTAAATAATACTAATATATTTTATTACTTCTAAATGACGTCGTTGAGCATAGGACCTACATCCATGAGCACTTGTGTGCGGAAGTTTTGACCTAGTAACTTTATTTTTGGCCGACGTGCGTATATAGTCATCGGTCAAAAACAACAATTCAATCGTCTTATTCCAAGCTTCGGTAGACCAATCAGTCGGTGGATGTCTTCTTGTCCTTTCCACATCCGCATATCCACCGACTTTGTCAAAATGTTTTTTCATGTCATTCTTGCAATCTCGATAAGCTTTTTGCATATCGGCTTGGGTACTCACTCGAACGGGTTCCCACAACTCTGTGCCCCAATACATATCAAGATCAAAATAAGTCTGCAAAAAATACATATTTGATTAGTAAAAGAAATATTTAATAAGTGTAAAATTCAATACATATAAAATATATCGTATACTTCTAGCTCGAGATATGAATTATCTTTGTACTTGGTAGGAACATGGCGCCAAGAATGATAATGCAATTATACCTCTGATCCCACCAGATTTGAGATCAGTCTAACAAACAATTGTCCGTTGTCCCGCACTAATCGATACGTCCTCCCGGAGGTATCAAGGCTCACGACCAAAGGATTACTACCTTTATATTCATACTCATCATATAAATTTAAGTTTCTCCCTTTGCTATCTACATTCACATTCTTCGCTTTTGCTACATTTACACATGGAATTGGAAACAGAGATGGAGCTTCAACATTTAATCCGGGGGGACAAAAATATAATATGTATAAAATTGGTAAGAATGGGGGGGGAACCAAAATTTATATTTTGGGTCTAAAATGTATAAAATGAAACTATAAGGACTGTTTCTAACCAAAAAATCGGGGGGGGGGGGGAGGGGGGGGGGCACATCCCCCCTTGCCCTAATAAAGCTCCGCCAAGGATTTGAAATTTAGAAATTTAAAACTATACAAATATATCCAATACTTAAGAATTTCATATAACTTACAAGATTGGCAACTCAATGGTAAACCGTATGCGACCATGTGTGGGGGTCTATCCTCGTCGTCTCCTCCATGATCCCTCGCGACTTCTACCATATGTTTAACAAATATTATAAACATTTAAAAATATATAATAAAGCTACTTATAAATAAGCAACATTTAAAAATTTAAGA